TGTGCTACTGACTTTCATCCTCACCTAACAAAAACAAAAACAAGAACACAGAATTAATAGCAATAGGACTTGGCAAAAGGTAGGTAATTATCAGAACTAACTTTGTGTACCTTCCTGATTCTAGGAGTTAATACCATTTAGCCATAAAAATAAATAATGTTATGGTATCAAGTAAATTCACCCTGGGTACAATCAAAGTTAGAGAGAAATAGAACAATTTCAAGAGGGAAAATTAAATAATAGGAACTACTGTCTCACACACTGGCATCTATCATCTGACAGTTTCCTTCCTAGTGCTGGTGTCTCACACCAATTCCCAAGAAAAGAACCATAAAATCAAAATCTTAACCCATTAGAACTGTATATAACACTGGTCAGACACATTTCTTATCTTGAACCTGCAGGATGGAGTTTTTTTCTCCATCTTTATTAAAAAGCTGGTGCCATTTGAGCGTGAGCCCTGCAGGACCTACCGTGACCCCCACAGAAGGTCCCAGTGCAGCAGGACCCGCAAGAGGAGCAGAACCGTGCCTTGCAAGGCCAGCTGCGTGAAGATCCAGCCCAGGAAGTTCATCTCAAAGGGACTCACGTAAGAATCAATGCCGAGGTTGTGGGTCAGGTCATATTTGATCTGATTATAGCAGAGTTCTATCAGTCCTTGACCCAGGCAGAATTGAGGAAAAATAGTAAAGACCCACTTGAGGACATCATAGATGTGCTGTAAATTCTGTATGGTGAAAGAAAGAGAGCAGAAGTCAAATTAAAAGCTCTTCACAACTCCCACTTCTTGACCGTCCTGCGTTCCAGGCCAGCCACTCTGCAACACTCTCAGACAGCCATCAAACCAAGGGAATTATCCTTAAGCCTTAAGGTCTGATGGTTTTGCTTTGCTAGGTTTCTGACATACTTGGGACCCTTCACCCTTTCTTCCTTCTGATTTTTGCTTTTGAAATGGAAATGTCTATCCCATCACTGTATTTTGGAAGCATGTGTCTTATCTGGTGTCACAGGTCCACAGCTGGGAAGGATGAATCACAGGTTCATTCAGCCTCAAGGTGAACCATACCTCCTGCCTCACCCAAACCTGACTTAGATGAGACTCTGGTTTAGACCCTGGATTTGATACTAGAATGAGTTAAGACCTTGGGAGTTGTTGGAATGGAGTGTATTTTTCATGGAAAATGACATGAATTTAGGGTGGCCAGGGGTGAAATGTTAAGGACTGAAGCTTGTGTCCCCCAACCAATTCCTGCATTGGAGCCCTAACCCCAGTGTGAAGGTATTAGGGGCTGAGGCCTTAGGGAAGCAGTTAGGGTCAGAAGAGCTCGTGTGGGTGGGGCTCCCATGAACTGAATCTATAGGCAACTTGATCTTGGACTTCCAGCCTCCAGAATGTGAGAAATCAATGTCTGTCATTTAGGCTGCACTATCCGTGGCATTTTGTTACAGCAGCCTGAACTGACGAAGACATATGGGTAACATTAATAACTGTAAGGTGACAAGAGTTTTGTATGAGTGGATGATGCTAGAAGCTGTGACTATAAGCATGTAAATAACATGCAAACTGTCTGGTCCATGCTTAGCATATAATAAATGCTAAATATATATAGTTGTCATTATTAAACATATTAAAATTAAGTGGTATTACAAAGACAAGGATGAGTAAGGGAAGAGGTCTCAATAAATGTACAAGGTAGTGGGAAGTAAACTCAGTTACCAATGAGGAAACGCAGTGTCAAGAGACTGATAAATATGTGCAAGCCACCTTGTGATAAGGCCAGGACTTGACCTCCATCTTTCTTGTCCAATGCATAAGATCTTTCCGCCAAAGAACACAACCTTTGGAGAAAATTCACTAAAATGTGGGTCCTTAACTGTCAGACTCAGTGTAGCTACTTTAAAGCATTTAACCCCCAAAGATCACACTAACTTCAGCTACCAAACAGAGCTATGGAAATATGATAGAGAATTAGACTCACATTTTAGTCTTTTTCTCCTGAAGTTCAAACTCAGTAATTCATCTAAACAATAATATTTTACAGTGGAGCAAAATCATCATAAAGTATATAATATACAATAGTGTATGTGTTAAATTCATAAATATTAAAGATTAAACTTACAAAAATTACCAATTACATATTTCATACTATGTTTTCCCTTCGAATGCAAATATATAACTTGATTAGTATAAACATAGTCTTAAGTAACGTGATTTGGATCAATAGAAAATTCAATAAAGACTTGTAAGGGCATGTATCGTTACATGATGGTTTACTGTATTTTGCATACAGACACCTGAAAAACATGAATGCTTCACTTAATTTTCCCATGGAGTTCAACCAGTCCTGAAGGGACTTATTAATTCCACTTTTCCTAAAACTGTGTCCCTGAATCAAATAATGTACTATTTGAAAGGATTTTCTCACTAGTTATAAGCTAGAAATCATAAATATTCCAGTTTTCAACTCAGGAACTGGTAATTAAGGAAATGACACAGTAATGATAAGGACTTTATATCTGCCTTTAAAGAATTCACAATGGTCTATTCTGGCAGAAGTAAATTCTTCATAATGCATGAACACTGCGGAAACAATTCCCATCTGTCAGGGGTGTAGCTGCAAATTCATGCAAAAACGATTCGTAAATGTCTGATTTATTTTATCTGGAAATTGAGTAAGTATTCAGAGGAATAAACTACTGAAATTGGGAGTTTTCCCTCCACCTCCATCCCCCTCCCTCCAGCAGGGCATCAATGGGAAAGATGGATGTTTGAGATCTTGAATTACAGCTCAAAATACATTTTCTATAGAAATCAGCTTATAAATAATGTTTTGGTAAAAATGAAAATGCTCATCTTAACATCATAGTTTGCATACACAATGGTTAAGACTAGTTTATTGGCTTTTCAGACTGATCTGAGAATCCAGTCACTTTTCTTGGCTTTTTGTATTGATTCTGTAAAAACATATTGCTCCTTAACTTACAAATGAATGTTTGAAATCACCCATTTTAATGTTGTGCTTCTAAGCAAGCCGAATCAACATAAAGATCAAGGAAAAGACCTTAACAAAGCAACTAAAAGTCTTCTATTATTTAATTACTTCTAACAAATGTCTTAATTAACAATTGAGTTGGACCCATTTTTCTGCAACCAGATAGTTGCCTGTTGATTTCTCTCCAAGTGAGCAATGCTGTTTGTAATCAGAGGGACTGCCTTCCACCAGCCCCAGGGTCAGAAGCTCAGGAATGCAAAGGTGCCTGGCTAGTTCCCCCTTTGGGTCTAGATGATACCCCCCAGTTTCCTTTACTTCTGTGACCCAGGCCCCTGGAGCAGCCCTCCACTTCCCATTTCCCACCATAGAGCTCATCATCCTTGATTGCATTTTCCTTCTCACCTTAGTTCATGCTAAGTTCGTCCCTCACAGCCCATGTCAAATTAGAGACCATATGGTCAAGAGGGACAATGGTCACTGCCTCAGCCAACTTCACCTTCCTCCTCAAGCTGGAGGCATTAACCATCCTGAAAGTTTTCTATTTAAAGGTTAGACACATTAATACATTAGTGTCAATAATAGATCTGTAAAAAAATCGCCAAAATCGGTTGTTTTCATTCATTAAATGAATAATGAATGTTTGTGTACTTCACTGTTTCTATAGCAACAGGAAGCAAAACAACAGAAAACAATATTAGTCATCACTGGGGAGTTTTCGAGGTCCCTACAAGTCCTGCGAGGAGAAAGTGAGCCTGTCCTCATGAGGCAAGCATGTGTCCCTGACTCATTTGAGTAGAAACTTGTAGCACATCTCCGTAACTGGGAGAGTGGGACCTTTTCCAGATGAATTTCTCAACCTATGAGTCCAACAAACACCTGGGATGACTGAGGAATTGGAGTCCATGCAGACAGCAGGGATTCGGGAGGGAACTGTGTGGTCAGAGAGAAGAGCAGACAGCAGGAACGAAAAGGACTGTAGTCAGGTCAGCATGTCCTCGTTGCAAACTCTGAGGTCTATTATCCAGGTGGCACAGGGGAGGCTGAAGGAGGGCTATGGCGGACAAGACCCAGGTGGGCTTCAGTGGGAGGATATAGGTGGAAGAAGCATGGTGGAAACAGTGGGTGTGCTGGCAGATCTGGATTCAGCTGTACTGAGACACCTGTTGGGCATGATACCCAGAGAGTGACTTGCTAATGTGCAAAGCCTGTTGGAGAGAGGCACCTCCTTATCCTCTCATGGGAAAAAGGCTTCTAAACCATGGAGCCCTCTCTCAGGCTTCTCTTTGCTCCAACACTCTGACCGTAGAAAAACAAAATAGGAAAGAGGGGAGAATCACCCAGATATTCCAGACCTGCTGTGGTGTGGCACTGCAGTGAGCCACCGCAGCCAATCCTACCCGGCAGCATCTGACCCCAAAGAGAGGAATGTCTGACCCTCACTCCTGCAACACTGTGCAGACACATCTCGTACATGTGTTCACTGTTCCAACCACTATCAGGAACTCATCAACACACAGGGATGGGGCAGTGAACCGGCTCGTGGGTCTGTCCTTGCTAATGGAGAAGCAGAAACTGAGCATCTTTTGTTGGTTGGTGCCAGCCCTAAGCATGGCTCTTAAAACAGCACAGATGATTTTGTTAATTAGAGTCAACGTCTCTTTGTTAAAGACAGTGGCTACTAGCACATAATCATTTAATTCCAGTTGGAAAAGCAACAGTGTGGCATGAGCCAACATTTCCCCCTCACTAGCGCCCTGGGAGAGGCGATGGTAAAGCTCACCAACCTGAGCTTTGGAGATGATGGCCAGCAGCCGGGGCATGATGGTCATCAGCATGGTGCAGAGGCCAAAGATGAAGTTCAAGGAGATGTAGGAGATGAAAGCTACGTCCGAACTGGAAAAGATTCTGGATAGCAGGTACATCCACGGAAGAGTTGCATAACTGGAAAACAAAGTGAAAACCATGTCTATTTTCCTGTAACACTCACTGCTGAGGTTTTATTGGCCTGGTCATTGTTTCGCAGTTAGTGATCAGAAATGCACCTGACTTAACAAATCCCACAGAATTTTCTGAAGACAAAGCCCATGTTCTGGGGCCTCAGAGACACTGCAATATAATGGCAAGAGCACTGGATGGGGCTAAAACCTGGATCACATGTGGGCCTCATCTCGCAGTTCCATGATCTGCAAGAAGTCAGCCAAGGCCCCCATTGCCTCCTCCCCCAAAGGGGCATGCCTGCCTCATCAGTAAATCAGGAACGATACCTATTGTTGAAGTGAGACTTAAAATCTGTCAAGAATGGGAAGCTGCAGAGCCATGCATTAAAAGAAGATGTGAGCAGAAAGCTCTCTTTGCAGTGCCCACTCCAGGCTGGGCACCATGCAGTGGGCTTCCATCATGTTCCATGACCTGCCCCACTGTCAGCAACCTGGAGGGCCCTGCTGCAGTCCAGTTCACAGACAGGGCAAACTGGTTGATTAGGTTAATACCTCTGAAGGCTGAATAGCTGGGAAGCAGGTAAAGCCAGAGGTGGGATTCATTTCTGTGTAGTCCCAAAGCTGGGGAATATGGGGTATGATCTTAGAAGAAGCCCTACAAGTTTCAGACAACATCAAGACCTAAGAAAACACTCACATGTCCCTAAAATGAAAACATCTCTCTCTCCTTTCTTTCTTCACATCCTCGGGGCAGATTTCACGAATAGCAGTAGACCTCAGCTTCTTTGTGTCACAAGACCACTGTGCTGCATGAAAGGACACTGGTACTTCAATGACAGTGCCATATCTCAGCAGAGTCACTCTTAAATGACAGTCTTTCTCATACGGCCCCACACTTTCTGCACACTCCAGGTAAATTTGCCACTGTTTGCTTAGAGTGATTTAGTGCTTCAGCCGAAATCCTTCAGTGCTTTCTAAATGGCTGGGTTTGCTGTGTTAACTAGCTATGAGAAGTATGAGGCTTCGAAATGATGGGTGGCCAGGCCCTGCAAGCAGGCTCTTATTTTAGCATAGGTCCTTTTCTGTATGATATCAGAATGTGCCCCTGGGTCAAAGCATACTCCTCATATTTCAGAAAATAAAATACATATGTAATATCAAACATAGAATCACACAGTGTTGCAGAAACTTCTCCCAACAACAATCTGCCTCATGATTTGGGCATGAGGAAAATTATTTTGGTTTTAAATAAAACAGCTGTACCAAACCAAATTATCATTAAATAATTAAATTAATTACCAAAGAGGTAGGCCATGGCTTCTTGGTGCTTTAAATTGCCAACAGGACTGCCTGACTTCAGAAAGGAATCAAATGCCCCACCCACTGCTCTCTCTCCTTCACTTGCCCCCCTGGGGCATAAATCAAGTGCTACCCTCCCTCCCACGGCTGCCTGGACAAGGAAATGAAACTGTGATGTTCAAAGTATTCTTTATAACTGAAATAAAAATAAGCATTACTAGCAATTTACAAGTCAAATTTTGGGGCAGCCATAATCGCTGTAAAATTCCTTCTTAGAGTGAACCAACAGTTGCTGAAAACTACTGATCCAAGCTGTATAATCTGGACCAACACATGCGAAGTTGCTTTTCTTTCCCATGTGGTGCCCTTTCCAGCTGAAGAGATCTAAGTTGGTCCCCTAATCCTCCTCTACAGAAGGACGGGTCGTTCCCAGTTCCCTGTATGACATGGTGTCCAGCCAACTCTCTGTGTTAAGTTTTGCAGTGTGGGAGTGAGGGGTGTGTTGGGTAGCGGCCCCTAACAGGGCATCTGGTGTGGTTGGCCTGGCACAAAACACAGTGAAAGTATCACTCCTTGGATCAGGAGCCAGGCACGTGGGGGCCTCCCTCTCCCGCTCAGATGCAGGGATGCCCCCATCTGGACCAGAGGGACAGATCAATACCATCAGCCTCAGCTCCAGTGGAGACTGCTCAGAATCGGTACTGTGTCACTCATTACATAAGGTTTCTGTGCTGGGCTATGGCATTTAAATATTTGGCAAGCAGATCAAAGCATCATTTAAGCAAAAAGGAAGCAACAACCAAGACACAGACTTGAACGATGCCGCTGGAGGCCCTATTGCCACATTAATGAACAATCTGAGTGCACTTTCCAGGCAGCTGTGCTTCCACTGCATTATTTTTACTACATGTTTATTAGCTACCTTTCAAATATGTGGTTCAAATCAATATACTGGCAGCTCCAGTCTCCTTATTTTTTTTTTAAGAAAAATATTTAAATGGCTTGAAGAGCATAATTTATTTTTTAGTGAAACCTATGGTGGCTTTTAACAATCTCCACTTTTATTAAAACATAATACCATTTTAATGATTTTAGAACTGTGAGGTATTGGCACACTGTTCACAATTATTCTAGAATTTATGGAGTTTTCCTCCATTGGAGGACAGGCTCCTCTCATATGTGGCATGAATCCCTAGGACGTGGAGCAGGACTCTGTGACCCCTGCCTCACCATCCGTCAGCACTAAGTAGCATCAATTATGTACCAAACATGGTCTTAAGGTTTCTATTTTCTATATGAGCCAGTTTCTCTTTCTTTTCTGACATTTTCATATGTTCCTTTCCTTGTTGATACTAATTCTGCCTCCTTTCCAGCTTAAATATCAAATTTTCCTTCCCTGAGACAGAAAAAAAAAAAAGAAAATTGTTCCTGGGCTATTTTTCTGTTAGCTCTTGAGATCCTGTTCACTTATCTGATCCTGAGTTTCTTCAGATTCCAAACTGCTAGCCAGCCTGTTTAATGCCTGACTGTATTCTCAGATTTCAGCTCCTTCTGGAATTTGGCCTTCTTCACATGGTTCCCAGGCTCCCGCCCTCCAGGTCCTCATGGGACAAGAGGGGTGAGCCATGCTCTTTTCCACCAGGGTGCATGAAAATGGGGCATGCTGGGGGGGCCCCACACAGCTTATAGCATCCCCAGTTCAGAGCCATGTGCGGGATGGGGCTCCGAGGTGGGAAGAGCTACTGACTGACTCTGAACTGGCCCCAGGACCCTCAGCTGTGATGCCATATTCATCATCGTCAGCCTTGGGCTCTTCTTCACTGGAATTATCCCAACCACAACACGGCCTGGGTTATGTTTTCAGATCTTCTCAGTCTCTCTAACCTATGAATTCTTCACCTGAGCTGGGTCACCTTTGTTGTCCTGTGAATGTACCCAGGAGATCTGTGAATCTCCCGAAATTCTTTGACAAATGTCATGCATGTAAAGAGAATTCATAGCTTCATCCTGACACTTCAAGGGGCTTACAGACAAAACAAGGCTAATGAAAACTCCTAAAAACATATTTCTTAGAAGTTTCTAGCTACTTTATTTTGTCTAAGTCTTACGTTACTTTCAACTTAATGAAATCTGCTCTCCTAAAGTTCAAAGATAATTTATAGAAAAGTCTATGTATCATGCTACAGAGCCATGACACCCTTTATCCATTCAACTGGATCAGTAAACCAAAATCAAACCATTTCCATATAACTAGAAATCCACATATATAGATCTTTATATCTGGGAACATAAATTTCCAAGTGAGTATAATGAATATGTGTCCACCATAAGCATTTTTTATAGCTGAAAACATAATATCCTCCAGATACTAAAATAATTCTACTAGTAAAGATATGGCTAAAATGAATATAATGGGAACTTTTGCCAGTTATTGTATGTGAAGTTTATATGAACTACCTAATTTAATCTTCACAGCAATAGGATTAAAGTTCTACATGGAAGAACCTGAGAGGCTTAGAAAGAGTAATTAATATTTTCAAGGCCACAGAGTTCATGAGTGGTGACATCAATATTCCCAACAAGGTCTGTCTGTCTATCCTGTCTCTCTGTCTAGTCATCTATATATCTAGATATCTAATAATGATATACACTTATTTAATTAATATAATGAGATATTTTGAGTCACTGATAGAACTGGAATCTATATTGAAATCACTTGTGATCTTTGTCTTAAATAAAGCAGAACGCTTGTTTAAAAAATTATTAGCCTTAATTATAATCATTAGCATATGCTGGTTACTCTCCCTAATATTAGCAGGCATCTCTAAGACACTAGCCTGGGTCAACATATGCCCAATGTGTAAGAACACAGATAATTATATGGTATAACCTGGATACCAAATAGGTGTGATTGTGGGACTACTAGCAATGATCCTGATTAGTGTGTATAAGTGAGATATCTGTAAAATGACTTTCCTGCTTTTGCTATTTTTGCTTGAGAAAAATGATGTAAGTTAGACAAAACACTTTCAAATGACTAATATAACAAGAGAAGGAAAATATGCCAGACATGGGGTTTCATGATAGAATGTCCTCCAAGGCAATTTCAGAGCTAACTGGGTTATGCATTTGAGCTCCAGATTTATGCTACAGTGAGAAGAACAGAGAATCTATTTGCGATGCACAGGGCTGCCAACAGCGGGAAGGCCTGAGACAGGCCAGTGCCATCCCCACCACGGCCGTGTCAGCCCACCCCTCCTCTGCGGGCTGGCCATCACCTGGTTCCAGCTTGTTTGTTCAGGGTCCCCTCATAGAAGCAACATAATTGCTTGGAAAGAGAGAAAATCATGAAGCCAACAGCAGGTTCAAAGCCATCCCGGGGGTTTTCTCCTTCAGAAAACAAACCGTAATTCTGCAGCAGTGCTTCTGATCACATACCCAAAAAGTGCCAGCAGGAGGGCCACGGCTGCCAAGTTCTCGCGGAAAGTAAAAGCTGTTAGCTGGAAGGCAACGATGACGGCAACACACAGGCCAACGGCAACCAGGTAGAACAGCTGGAAACATAAAGAAAAGGGGCACCGGCTGTATCAGATGGCCTGATGATCCCTGTCGCCTTATCCCCAGGTTTTCACAAGTTCTATACCAAGATGTTTCCTATTTTGCTTTCTATTTTGCACCATCGTAAGTTTGTGGCAGTGGAATTAGCCCCAGAGAGTCACAGTTTGGGGCTGTCTGGTGTCCCCCAGATTTATGGGCTGAAGCCCTAGAATGCAGAATGGAACCATATTTGGAGATGAGGCCTTAGAAATGTGATTAGGGTAGAATGAGGTCACATGGCTGGGCCCTGATCCTATGTGATTGGCGTCCTTGTAAGAAGAGGAGATGAGGACACAGACACACAGAGGGACGGCCACATGAGGACACAGGAGACTGCGTCTACACGCCCAGGAGAGGTCTCCCAGGGACCTGCTCTGCCACACCGAGACCCCGAAGTCCAGCCCCAGGACGGGGAGGGACCAGTGTCTGTGGCTTTAGCTTCCCAGCTGCCTCAATTTGCTACAGCCACCCTAGTAAACAAATACAGCCCCTACACCAGTCTCCCTGAGGGAGGGTCTCAGAAGCCCGACAGCATCCATGCAGCGTGACTCCTTCCCCTGCCGAGAAGCAAGGGCAGGCTGCTCCCTGGCTCATGCACCCGTCCTGGCAGCTGGCAGGACGTCCCTCAGAGCCCTCCTGACTTAAAGCCACCTCCCATCCCATTGCCCCCTTCATTCTCTCAGTGAATCTAGTCACCAGCTGTACCCTGTATATTTATTCACTCGTGTGATTTCTGCTCCTCTCATAGGAACACGAGCTCATGTGGAGAGAAAATGTTTCTGCATTGTTCAAGGTTTATTCCCAGCACCTCGGACACACTCTGACCCAGAGCAGACCCTCAAAAGTACCTGTTAAATGAGCAATTGGATTGAACAGATGAAGGTGAGAAATAGTCAACCAAGAACATTAAATCCTAAGGCAAACATCACAGGGTATGAGGACCACAGTAGGGGCAGGGATAGGGGTGATAAGCGAGGGCTGCAGAAACAAGGGGACTCTGGGCTTGGAGGCTGTGGCCTCCTGGTGTCCTGCAAACCCGGCCCTCCCCTCATGTGCTCATTAGCTCAGGTGCATTTTCTTGGGAAGGCTGGTGGCTGCACATGAGACCCAGAGGTGTGGCGGCCAGCAGCCAACAGCGTGCAGCACTGGGAACACAGCGGAACCAGGACCCAGAAACCAGACCGCAATAGTGGCTCTGCGCTAAACAGACCTCAGTCCTGGATCTTGGACGAGTCATTTCCTCTCCCTGCTTCACAAGAGTCCTCAGTAAAGATGAGGAGCTTGAGGACCAGCATTTCTGTCTCAGCTGAGATTCATAAATCACCTTGGGTGCTGACCAAATGCCGATTCCAAGTCCCACTCAGACCCACAGAATAGGATCACACAGCACAGGCCTGGGAACCGTCTGTACCATGTGGGGGCAGTTACTCTCACTGGCCAGGTTTGGAGGCGCCCTGGACTGAAAGGTCCCTGTGACTAAAAGGTCACACCACCTACGTGTGAACCATATAAAGTGTACTTTAAAAATCCATGTTATGCATTCAAAGGAAACAAGTCAGCCATATTCTAAGCCAAGTCAAAGAGTAAACAAAACATAAGACCAGTGCGCTAACATACCATTTCATGGGCTGAACTAAGATATTCTGACATATGAGTCATACTTATGAGGAAAAAGGACACCACTTTCTTACAAAAATACTACAATGAAAGCAGGAATTAATACTAATTCCAGTGAAATGTCTTCACCTCTGGGGAACAAATGGCACAGCACTGCTGCCCCCCCGAAGACAGTGGTCTGGACTGCCAAGCACAGGAGGGACACGCTGAGACCATTACCGCAGGACGGCAGCTGGCTCTGCTCTAGTTGGTGGTGGCTTTCAGCATGCAGATGACAGACCATTTATGTTGGTTTCATCATCTCACCACCACCCTCCATTGAAAAGAGCATATGAAAGGTGACTATATTCTCATCTTCCTGGTGTGAAGCTGCATCTCTGTGCAGGTCCCTCACGTCTCCAGCGGTGGCTTGCCCATCTTCCACCTTATAAAGCAATCTTACAGGGATGATGGTGACACACAAAGGCAACTTGAGCTGAAATAGCCTTACCAATAAAATGATTCCTTCTCATGGGGGTCATCTGAGGCAGCCAGCCTGCTAACACACACATGCACACACACACGCGCACACACGGGATGTCACTCCCGAGGCTTACCATGTCATACAGGAAGTTAGTGAGCCAGTACGTTCTGTAGCCGAGGCCACTCATGTGCTGCAACCTCTTGGCTCCAGTCACCCTGTCCTTCACCACGGAGCTGCCAATGGACGCAGACAGGATGGAGAAGCCCAGCACGATGCAGAGGGCAACCCCGCACTGACGGATACTCTCCAGGCTATAGACAGAACACAACAGCTCGTGAGAGGCTAGATGAAGGGCGTGGGTCTTCTTTCAGGTGGTGGCCGTGACGAGGATGAGATTGGTGAAGACCATGCATGAGGCCCTCTTGGTGGCAAGGCGCGTGGCTACAGCACAGCTCCCTCGCCAAATCCCCCACTGGCCTTCTGAGGTGCAGACTGCTGTTCTCAGCTCATAGAAGACTGAGCAGTGTGAAGCTGAGGGGCATTCCAGAGTCGGCCTCCCTCAAGTTTACTCTTGACCATTGAGCCCGACTCCCAGTTAAAACAGAAGACATCTGCAGAGTGGCACCTGTGGTGAGCTGTAGGCTTTGCCCATGCCGGGACCACCAGAGGACAGACAGGGGTCTCAGCTGTAGCTCCACACATCACTGGCCCATCTCTGAACTTTGTCTCTCAAAATGTCACAAACCTTCTGTAATTGACTGAGGTGTTTGTAACAACAAACACTGTATACATCCTTGGCCACTTTTTAATTGAAGCACTATGAACATCCTCTTGAGTCAACCACCATCCCTTGTGTAGGGAAGGGCGGCACCCCGGCAGCCTTTCTGGGGGCACACAAACTGGCTCATTGCCAGCTGTCTGCTGTGTCATGCCTTCTTTCCCATCAATGAGCCTACTCTAGGCTCAGAGGCTGCCACAGAAAAACCCCGAAAGTCAGCCTAGGACGTGGGGACAGACCCCACTTAGGCTTCTTGCCACACTGACCACTGAGAACACTGACCAGGTGGAGCTGTGTCCTCCAATCGACCTGGCAGGTCATAGGCAGTATGTAAATGAACTTTATTATGACAAGTTTTAACTAAACGCTTGTCAACTGTATGAGAGAGGACGGAAATGGGAAAAGAAAAAGACAGGCAGAAGCCTCTGAGCTTTCATAAAACAATGGGAACGAGTGCTTGGTTCTGTCCCTCAGGAGAACTGGCTTGTCACCCTCTGTGACCCATCTGTCCCATGAGAAATCCTCACAGAGGCATTGCTATGTTCAGCTATGCAAATTCCATGTTTAAGACTTAATCTGAAAAAGAGTCTGCAAGATGTGGGGTTCTCTGTGTGCAGGGAAGCCACCCCCTCAAGACAATTTCTACTTACTAAGAAGTCATGATGAGCTCATGCATTTTAGACTCAGTCAATGCACTTTCCCTCCCTTCAATCATTTCCCTCAGACTTTTCAAAGAAATGTCTGCACCTCACTCCACCAACAGCACAGGCCAGCATCCCTCAGGGAAAATGCACAGGGGGTCTTCAAATCACCTTGAAGGACCCCAAGGCTCTGTTCCATTGGTAGGGCCACCCTCCCACTGGCAACTCACATCTTGTCCTCGTTGAGCAGGGCGCCTCCGTAGGGGTGGCTGTAGAGCGTTATTCCTGGGAAGGACAAAGTAAAAAGTCAGTCTGCAAGGCATGCCCACCCTCCCAGCCTGTAGCATCTCCATTTGCTTCAAGCAAGCATGACCCATTAGCACCCAAGATTGGCAGGTCCCGACATGCATTTCAGTCCATTTGTGCTCAGACTGTTGTATTTGTTGTTGTCAGACATGACCTGTGCATACAGAACATGCACCGTGTGACACATTTTACGGTCTAATCCTGATGAGCGCCCCTGTGGTCTAATACTTTATCCACATTTCCCAGTGGGGAATTAGTGTAATGACAGCAGCCCATATGGAAATTGCAATCAACTAACCAATTCCAAGGATTGTATCATAAAGGCTGTTGGTGACATCACACGGCATGCTGTCCCCACTCCAGGTTCCAGTCCATATCGTATCAGGAATAACTCAATACATGCAGGCATACAACACGTGCTTCATCTTATCATCAATGGTGACACTGGTCTCACCATGGCTGAAGTTTTCCCTTTTCTGACTGGTGGTTCCAAACGTTTGATGCTAAGGGTGTGGCCCATACGTAGAGGCAGTGACAATGAGCCCAGCATGCTGGCTTCATCTCATGACTGTACCTACATTCTTCTTCTTCTGGCTCACATAATTCAGCCTGTCATCTGTATTCCACATTCTCTTATAAGGGCCTATTACATCTTTGCAAAAACACTGTGGGGCATTAGTAAATGTAAATAAATTAAAAGATATGGAACAGGAACAGACTGCAGTGCTCCAAAACACAACACTTTTGCCACCAGGAGATTTGACTTCTACCAGTTTGCCACCTGCTGCCCGCCTCCAGCTCTGCCAGCCTTTTTTATCTGCCATTGTGTGCTCAGCCCCACACTGAAGCAAATGCTCTCTCAGCAAAAATAAGAGTACGAACTCCTAGTTTAGCAAGTGCCTTGTACAGTTTTCAGGAACAATCTCATTGATTATATATTAGTAACGTTCAGATACTCTGTTACAGATTCCCAATTGCGTGTGAGGAGACCTGCTGTGTGATTTCCCACATCCTGGCCCTAACGTATATACATTTATCCTAGACTGAGTTGTGAGGTCTGAACCGCTTGCCTGTCTGGACACATAACCCTGTCTTTCTCCAATCTGTCTGTCTTTCCTTGAAGCTGACCTCCTTCCCTCCTCACAATGTCTGCTGTCCTGCTCTTTCCAGCTGAAGTGCTGGCCCTCAAGCAGCTCTGTACGTGAGGAGCAGCCAGGCTTAACCAGCCCTTCCAGGGGGTTGTACACAGCTAATGGCCTTTCAATGGAGTTTGTGAAGGCAGGGGCTCCTGCCCAAATGGGGCAGGTATCCCGCAGGCTGTGGAGGAGGGGAGCAGGCTGGTGATGCTACATATGCTGCTCTTGGCTGCGGATAATTGAGGACATCTGAGATCAGGAAACAGCCAGAGAGACATGGTGCACTGAGTGAGGGTGTGGGAATTAGGTTACTTTAGGGACACGGGAGAAGCTTGGAATGGCTTAATCTGAGGACACACACACACAACGTAGGTCATGAGGCAGGATGACCATGTCCCAGATGGCTACAGAACTGCCCTGGAGCACAGGACGTAGACACAATCTATAAGGTTTTAGAGGGAGAAGTTGGTCCAAGGAGATAGGTTCAAAAATACAAAAAAAAAAACGAAAACAAAAAAAACACATGATTACAGGGTTGGAACTTTAGACCAGCCTGAGCTTCGGCAGAAAGAGCCAGAGACTAAGTTCAATCATGCAGCCAGTGATTTTTCCATCATCCCTGTTGCATGAAACCCCAGTTAAAAACTCAGGAAACTGAGGCTCAGTGGAGCTTCCTGCATGGAGAACTCACCAATGTGCCAATGTGCTTGGATTCCCAGAGAAGAGGGCATAGAAGTCTGCAAGCCCCCAGACCCGGCCTTCTGACCCCTTCATTTGGGTGGTCCCACTGAGTGTCCTTTGCAACACTATCATTGCGACAACAGTGCTTTTCTTAGCTCTGTGAGCTGTTCTTGTGAATTATCCCGGATGGGGTCCTGGGGTCCCTCAGATTTTCATCCTCTGGTCAGAAGTGAGGGTGCCCTGGGTGTCTGGGAGTATAGCTGGCCTCCCATTGACTTGCAGGGCCAGCATTCACTCCAGATGGTCAGGGTCATGGCTGAAGGGCAGCCCCTCCAGTCGGGGTGAAACAGGATGCCCTTTGTGCTGGATTCTTCTCCTCACCTGGAATATCAGGATCCCCACACTGGGCTTTCCTCTCCCTGTGTCCTCATGTGCTCTCTGGGTCTTCTCAGACCCCCCTGATGGTCATGGATATTTCCTACTCATCTGCCCCCACACACCCACGTGTGTGTCATATCCAAGACCCAGCCCACCTCAGACTGCCCTGTGCTCATCCCGCAGCTTGTCCACTATCACTGGCGACCCTTCGTCCCCCGGGTGGTCAGCAGACCCATAAGCACCGCATCCTCATCCTGCTTCTCCACCACACAGAGCCAGGAAGCGGTCACTCCACTCCACCTCCGCGCCACAGCGCCAGGACTCTCCCCCGCACACCACACCCATCCCGGGCACCCTAACTAGCTTCACCTCCAAGCTCACCTTTCCCTATGTCACCCATCCTCCCCCCAGCAGCCCCATGGAATTTCCAAATGGAAGTGGAGAAAAAAACCATGGAGTCCATATTCTTTGTCTAGACATAGAGGCCCTTACAATAAGGCCCCAAGTTCTCATTTACCCTATTCTTCCTCTGCTTCCACCTGCAAAACTGGACTATGACCAAGTTCCCACGCTCCTTAACTACAGACACATTTTGCCTCCTCCTTATACAGACAGCCCCTGACTTACAGTGGTTCTACTCACGATGGCTCAACTTTATGATCGGTGTGAAAACAATATGCATTCAGTAGAAACCACACTACAAATGTTGAATTTGGGTCCTTCCCTGGGCTGTGATACACAGTTCAATACCGTCTCATAATGCTGGACAGAGCAGCTCCTGGTCAACCACACAATTACCAGGGTAAACAACCAACACACTGACAATTCTGGATCCACACAGCCTTTTCAATTCAATGTTCAATACATTACATGAGATTTTCAGAGCTTTATGATCAAATAGGCTTTGTGTTCAGTGATTCTGTCCAACTGTAAGCTAATGTATGTATTCTAACCATGTTAAGCTCTGATGTTTGGTAGGTTAGGTATATTAAAAGCATTTTCAACTTAGGACATTTTCCACTCATGATTGGTTTACCGGGATGTGACCCCACTGTCAGCCAAGGGAAACCTCTACTTCTTTGTCTGAACCCCACTCCCTCTCATGTCTGCTCTGTGATAGTATTAATTTCTAAACACCACCCTGCAGAAATACAGGGCAGCATGAACAGGCAGCGTTCAGGTCCTGAATACTTAGCTACTCATAAGCAAAGAGGAGTTGGTATCCCAAAGTATATGAAAATCTGCCCATGGGCACATGCTCTATGTCGTTGAGGGTATTAGGCCATTTGTACAAACCCTTTAGAGCAACTCCATCACATCCATATTATTATGCCCATTTGCAGAAGCAGACTTCAAAGTGTGAATATCTGAGAACCTTCCCAGATCTGGCAGTCTGTAAGTACTTGAGATTCCAGCCCTGGGCTGCTGGTGCCTCCAACCACATTCCTACCACCCTCTTCAGCACACACTTGTGGCTTTTCAAGGAATGTCCATGTACCATGGGAAGGAAACTGGGCTGAAGCTCAAATCTGCAGTGAAAAGCTGTAAATGCTTTGGTGGAGAGTTCAATAACAAAATTTTAAACAAAATTATAAATGACCATGGTTAGAGCTTTATTCTGATTAGGTTGCATAAATATCTTTTCTCACTTTAACCTGCTGGAGTCATTGTTGAAAGATTAAAAGCAGAACTCTAATATTTGCTGTCTGTACCCTCTTCCCTCTGTTATGAATTTACTGCCCTTCAGTTTCACACATGTCCTGGATTCCTGTCATCCCTTAGGGGTTCAGTCTGGGAGGTGAGGGCATATCTGGTCCTTTATATCACTGATGAGATGATTGACTGTACCTGTGGCTAGCAAACCCCCTGTGCAGCAGACCCTATTCTGGATGTTTTCATGATATATTTTTTCATTCAGTAATCTGGTGATGAAATTCTATGACACAGAGACTAGTGCAATGTGCAAGCATGTCTTTGTAAATCAGCCTGCAGCATTCTAGAATTGGAGATTCCTCCAGGGCAAAGGAGCCCCATGAAGTGGTCCGACTAGGACACACCCTTGTTTTCCAGAAGATGAAACAGTAACAGAGGAATGTGGTAAATTTCCCAGAGCAGGGGACTGGCTCCTGATAGAGGCAACACCCATGTGTCCAGAGTGCCAGGTCTGCTCCTCTCTCATCCAGTCACCTGCCAGCACACAGGGCCCTGGAAGCCCTCCCTCTGCACTGAGAGACACTGTGGGTACCAGCAATCTGCTCACACCAAAATGAAAAGCTCAGCTTTGGCAGCAGAGAGCAGCTGATGCATTTCATATAGTGGGCAAGGGGGGAGAGCCCGGCCCTGCAGCCATCCCCTCCTCCTGTCTTTTGCTCCAAGAATACAAATCTCCCTGACTGAACCCATCCCGGCTCTGCAAGTACAGAGTCACTGGTGTGAATAACCAAACCCCACAGAGTGCAACCTCTGCCCTTCTCCGGGACCTCCACTCATAAGTAATTCAGAGGGGCAACAGGTGTTCATTTGGTATTGGCTTTCAAGAGTCTTATAACTTACACATTTTACACACAGTAAGTATTTAAGTCTAATCTCTTGAAGAAGCGCGCATGCTCTGTGGGCCTCTCCCAGGCTCTGCAGGGAATCCAGGCTGCCCAGGAAAGCTTCCCTTCTGCTCAGTGCAATGCAGCAGGCTTCCCAGGCGCTTCTGCAAAGGCACCATGATGTTAGCCCTCATGCAGGGGTCCCTCCCACACACACTACAGAAGTAAGAATTTTCTTTAAAAATAA